GTCGGAGCGGTGCGGCGGAGCCGCTCGCTCGGCCTCGCCCGCCCGGGCGAAGGCGGGAGCGGAGAAAAACGCTCGCTGCTCTCGGAGCCCTGAGCGTACCTGTGTGTGTTCGCGCGGAGGTATGCAAGGTAGCGTGAGCAGACCGTGGACTGAGTAGTCCTTGTCGCTGCCTCCTGTCGTAGCGGGGCACGACGCTTCTTCCACTCTAGGACTGAGCGCGGAGCCCAGGCGTGTGTGGCAGAGGGACCCGAGCTGCAGGCGCTGTGTGCGGGCAGTGGGAGCTCTGGTGGTGCTGCTCTTGCCCTAGAGCTGCTGTTCAGAATTGCCCTCATGGCAAGTTCAAAACACAAATGCTTTGATAGTAAAGCTTTCTTCCTACTATGCTTCCATTAACATATACTAGAACTGAGAAGCTGCTGCTCTGTTTTGTTTGGTTTTTGTTTTTAATAAACGCCCTGAGATTTCTCTAATAGGAAGGCCAAAATGTCTCTGGATTTTGGGGGAGGTGTCTCTTTTTTTAACAGTACAGAATGACTGTTTTGGTTCTGCTTACGAATTTGTGATAGTAAAAAGCCTCTTAGTGTGAGCAGCATAGATAAAAAGCAATTGCAAAAGCTGCTGTAATAAAGATATTATGTTGTGAATTATGCTCCAGGACTATATGTGAAGGTATTGTGCCAAAGAAACCAAAGGTGCATGTGCTTACAAAAGTTAGGTCCGTAGTGTAAACTCTAGATAGTACTGTCTTAAGAATGGGCAAAACTATTATGGGGAGAGACTTTTCACTGCTGTTTAATGCTTCTAAACCACTATGTTTGAATAATGACTATAAAAGCTACTGGACTGCAAATTTCAATCTTTAGCTTGATAAATGTTGATAAAACTACAGAAGTAGTATATCTTTGTAGACTAGGAGTGTTGCTGTATGTCAGTTCTAACCCAGTAATCAAATGAGCCTTTCTTTTAATGAAGGCTTAAACACTCTTAAAATTACTGTCTGAATTCCAGATTTGCAAAAGAAAGCTGTTTGCCTACTGGAAATCTGAAGCTCTCACTACTTGTCCTAGACTGCATATTTAGTGGGTTTCCAGATGGGGATGGATTTCTCTTTGTCTTTCACTATCAGTTCTTATTTCTTCATACAATCTAATTAAACTGCCTGTTTCTTTGACTATACTATTCTTATCTTTGGCCACAGGTGACAATGAACATCTAGTGTGTTCAGTTATGTGATGTCTAATAGTTTTAGACCAGCTGAGTTATTGGCACTGCTGCTGTTCTACCTCACTGTGGGAGCCCATAGTTTGATGGCCTGGCTATAGCTTTCTTTGTGTTTGAGGTACTGGAGGCTTTCCACTTATTTAAAGGAATAATTAAAACTATATTTCCTTCAAGATTATCAGGTGTTACCATAATGTCACTCTCTAGCTTCACTTAATACAGAGGTTACTCTCACTGTAGTAGTGGGACTCTGCTGTGTTCAGTGGATGCAGCAGTGGTCAGGATAGCTTTTATCCTGAAAATAGACCAGTGTTCACTGGAAGTTCCAAAATGCAAAGAGTGCTACGTGTCTGTCTGCTGTTAGGGAGTATCTTCAAGCAGGAAGATACTCTGAATTAAAACTAGTTCATGTCTGAGGTTTTTAAACTATATCTAAAATTAGAAATGCTTAAAATAAGACACCTTTAACAACCAAAAATTAACTTAGAAACATCTACAGGGAAGTATTCCCAACAGCTCAGTGGTGGCATGAAATTCTTGTTTAGTTTCAGCTTGGAATCTCTGGTCCCACCAGAACAAAGATCTTCTGTGTGATTAGTATGTTCATTGCAGTTAGTAAAGCAGTATCTGTACTTGAGAGCTTAGTGATTGAGTAAGCTTATGCACGCTTAACTTCTGAGACTTCCAGAAAAGCTTATTCAAAGAACTGTTTCACTTGACTTACCAAAACAAGTGATACCACCTTTATTTTCCTGGTTTCCCTAGCTGTAATATAAAAATAAGGGCATTTGCTGTTTGTAAAGGCTAACAGCAGTACTGTGAAAACTTGTATTTCAGGTCCTAAGACGATTGTATGAAGTTAGTATTAAGCAATCAACTCTTCCTTTGCTTCATGAGTAATTCTGTTCATTACACCAGGCTGTTATGAAGGTCAACCCTCTTTACTAAAGAGCTCTGAGACCAAACCAGTAATGATATAGTTAAATACTGTGGTTAGACTAATAACTTGAAGCTGCATGTATTTATCACTACACCTTTTCTTATAGATCAGTGTCCTGGTTTCGGAAGGGATAGAGTTAATTTCCTTCCTAGTAGCTGGTACAATGCTGTGTTTTGGATTTAGGATGAGAACATGTTTTTTTTCTTTAACTTCAAGTATTGCAAGAGAATAAAGAGGGAATACAAATTTGATAGCTTTGCAGACAAAGAAAGGAAATTTTGTTAGTGTAAAGCCCTGTGCTGCGGGAAACTGAAAAACTTTAGCTATTGCATCTTCTAGTCAGATGTTACCTTCAGCAGGCGCTTGTTCTGATAAAAAATCTGATCCCCATAGCTATCCTGGTAATATGGCTCTTAGAGGTTTATGTGCATT